CAAACAGGTTTTGCAATTTAAAATTTTTTAAAAACACTTTCTTAAAATTATTTCCAAAAATAGTTTTCAGATATTGTTTTTTGAAATACAAACCAAACAGACCCTAAATATCTTAAAATTATAAGTTATGTACTTTAAGGCCGATAAGTAATATTTAGTGTACCCTTTTACAATTATCCGTTTTTAGAATTGATTTGGGATTTTAGGATTGATTTTGGCCACAACAATCTCTAATATACTGGCCCTTAGTATGAGTTTGCTTTTAATTTCATGATATGATTAGACCACATGGAGGCTTTGAATTCAACTCATGAAATAATCTATATTGGGTTCAATAGGCCCTAACAAAATTGGAGCTAAGCCTAAGGCCAAAAATCATAAGTATATATTCTTTGATAAACTGTCTAAGAATAATAATAATTTTAATGTTAACTCAATTTATTTATTAATAATTATCATGTTCAGTCAACATATATGACTCAAATTAGAACTCCATTATTTTCCACCTAAACCTACAACTCATAGGAATTAGGATAAATTACATCTAGAACCCTAAACTTTTCCATCTAATCATATGAATCCCTTCATATTTAACAAATTACATCGAGACCTCTTAAAAAAGTACGCGTATAACAGAGACCATGTCGTTAGCATACGTTAGATAAACCCATAAAACTTGGTGACATCAGCATATTTTTTACACAAAATTTTCAAGTTCCCTTCTCATTATTTAAAGTAAAACCCATAAAAACATTAAAAAATTTTAAATTTCCATTTAAACATCAAATAAAGCAATAATCCTTTAATTAACACCCTCTACCCTAGTAAAAACCCCACCTTCTCTTGCTAAAACCTACCACCCATCGCCTACCCAACCCACCAAAGTCCTAACTCTACCAAATGGCAAAGTCCAAACTCCACCCACCGCCTACCTCTTTACTCAAACTCAAAGTTACAAGAGTGTTTCTTCTGCCAAAACCCTTGACACATCTCCACCCAAAACCAATCTAAATCTAGAAAAGAATACAAATATCCATAGATATAAGATATATGCAACCAATTGCAGAGAGAAAGGGGCACAAACCCTACGGTCCCTACCCCATGGACCAAAATAGAGACTGACATAAAGAAAGAAAATACAACCCAACTCCATGTCTTCTTCTCCCTCTTCGTCGTTTCTTGCGACAGTGATGGGTTTGGTAGTAGCAGATGTGGTGTGGTGGCCATGGTGGTACATTAATGGGTCTCATTAATTACGGCCATGCTGGTGTAATGACGGATGCTTTAGTGAGTGGGGACGATTGGCCAGAGAGAGAGAGAGAGAGAGAGGATCCATGGGTGGAAGGCATCAGTGATGTTGATAAACTGGAAAAAGGGATGAAGGCAATTGGTAGAAGGAGATAGAGAAGATTGGATATGTGGATGAAGGCGTTGGTGGTGTTGATTAACCAGAAAAAAGAGGCGTTGGTGGTGTTTTTTTTTTTTTTGGTTAGTCATATAACATACCTACAAAAATCATACATACAAAAGTAAAGAACCACTGACAACTATCCTATTCTTTATCGAGCTTCCTTATGGATCAAATGCAGCACTTGTGGTGGCGGCATCAAAAACCAGTCAAAAGGAATACTCCCACAACTGGTGTGATGAGCTATCAGATGAGCCAAAGTATTAGCAGTTCTCTTAACAAAAAGAAAGTGAAAAGAAGGGAGCTGTGCAGACATCCTCCATATATCCCGCTGCAATGGCTCAACATCCCTCAAAGGCATCTCTGGCCCCTTCACCAACGAATCGATGAGCGTCTTGGAGTCACTTTCAAAAATCACAGACCTCCAACCTGCAGCCTTTGCCATAAAACAGGCCTGCCGTAATGCCCAAGCTTCAGCAGCCAAAAGAGATGCAACACACATCTTCCCTGACGAAGCCGTAATAACCCTGCCTGTATGATCTCTCGCCACAGCTGCATACGCACCTGTCTTCCTTTTTGCAACAAAAGCTCCATCACAATTAACCTTCACCCAGCCAGGTGGTGGGGCAGTCCAGCTCTCTGCAATCTTCGGCTTGTCTGACGACCCTGCCCTTGGAAGATGTTGCAACTCCATTACGGCCAACCCTGTTTGCCTAACGACAGTCATGCTATCCACGGGCTTCCCATGAAAACACCAAGAATTTCGTCCCTTCCAAACAAACCACAAAACATATGCAATGAAAGATCTACTCTCCTTAACGCTCCAACCTCCCCAGCCAGGGGCGGAGCAAGAATTTTGTCTCAGTAGTGGGAGAAATTTATTTATACCTGATTAAAAAATAAATTTATTTAATTAGATTCAAGTTTAAGAGTTCATCATTAAATTCATAACAAATGAGCTAATAGACTACACATAATTAAAATATAATCCATAAATCCAAAATATAATCCTAACTAGAATTTCAAGAAATCTATTAAAACAATTTAATCATAAGAAAGAAAAATAGCATTAACCAAAAATCTCATATAGCCAATCTGAACAAGGGTTTTAACAAAAATTTAAAATAGTTGAATGATAACCCAACACGAAACAAAAAAAAAATCTACATAAGTCCATAAACAATACACCAAACAACCATCAATTCTAGAAGAGTTAAACTAATTTTCTAATACAAAAAATCTGATTTTAGATTAGTGCTAATACTACTATCAAAAAATTCAGTTAATAGATTACCTTTCCTTAGCTTCAATATAATTTTTTAGGGTTTCGTCAAATTTGATTTGCATAATGATCAAATCCAATAAGGTTATTTGTTTATGAATACACCAAAGAAACTAAATAAAGGAAAGAAAAGGGGTTGTCGGTTGGATGCCTAAACTGAACTGGAAGTTTGAACGAAAAAGACGAAGGCTTACGAAAAAAAAATGTAAGCCCGAAAAGGAACTGCTAAAAGTTAGCTTTTAAATGTTTAAAATTATATTAATATATCTTATACTTTAAGAAAATTTTAGTGGGGTAAGTTTAAGAAATTCTTGATTTTTTTTTAAAATTACACTTAGGTCTCAAAATTTTTTAAATTTTAGTGGGGGCAACTGCTAGAGTGCAAAATGAGGAGTTGCCAAAAGTTAGTTTTTAAGAGTTAAAAATTATATTAATATACCCTATAATTTAAGAAAATTTAAGTAGGGACAAGTTTAAGAAATTTTTGAAATTTTTAAAATTACACCTAAGTCTCAAATTTTTTTAAAATTTCAGTGGGGGCAACTGCCCCCATGCTAAATCCGCCACTGCCCTGGGCTACTTTGGAAATGGTCCATTAACCAGAAAAAAGGCACGAAGGTAGAGAAAGACAGAGAGATGATATTTAATGGGGTATGACTTGGATTCGGGTGGGTTGGGTCAGATTAGAATGATATAAGAGCATCTCCAACCCACTCTCTATTTCTTCTCTTTTAGCTATTTTAGTTAGTCAAACACAAAAAATTATTTCCAACCTACTTTCTATTTCCTAGTTAACCCAAATGTGGTGAGCCATTTGAACTCTCTAAATTCTCTCTCTACCTTTTTTTCTCTTTATATATATGTTTTACGTCTTTTAAATTATTGGAAGTTAGTGACAGTTGGATGTAGTAGTTAGCTAAAATAGAGAGTACAGTTGGAGTGAATTTATAAAAGTGGTTAACTAAAATAGTGAATGTAATATTTAAATATATTTTGACTAACTATTTTAAAAAAAAGGTTTGAGAATGCTCTAAGTATTTGAGTTGGGGTTAGGCTGGATTTATTTGGTTTGGATAAAGAGTAAAATAGTCATTTCATGACTTCTGTTAGGGGGTTAGTTTTCTGCTAGTGATAGGGGATGTTAGTGTAATATGTCATACCTATGGGGGTGTATGTGTTTTAGTGATAAAGTCAGGGGGTCTAGATGTAATTTGCGATGGAAATTAAGAAACTGAAAAATCATCAATATCCATATGTTAGCGAAATTAATTAAAAAACTACGTAGTACTAGAAAAATTCACAAAATACGTGATAAAATATTAATAAATAAATATTTCTTTCAGAAGGTGTCCATTTGTTTGGCATATTTTTGAATTATGGGCATGCTAAAATTTAATTGGACTTAAAATCTAAACATATACGACCTTAACTATTCGAACGGGTGTGAAATTTTAAAATCGTAATTATTCAGATGATTGTAATAAAATACAAGACTATAATTCTTTTATATGCCTTTGGGATTAATAACTTTAAATAATTTTTTTAATTGGTAACATAATGAACTAGAATGTAGAACGAAAACTGAAATGTAAAATAGCAGATAGACTAAACCTAGAAGAGGGAAAGAGCAATATGCTTAACCGTAAATGAAAGTTGTAAAGATCACCAGAGTGATGAGTTACGTATAAAAGTGAAATTGTTGGAAAGTAAAAATAAGTAAGTGAGAGGTTGATTCTGTGCAAAGTTTGTTGTATTTAATCGTAAATATTTTTTTTGTATTTGTGCTCTTGTTATTTATATGGATGATCTTTAACCGTTTAAGCCATATTTTTTAGTCATAACTGTAATTATAACATCTTTTCTCGAGATATGCAGACGTGCACCGAATCATATCGAACAAGCATGTCATATTTTAGTTCTTTGTCGAGTATAAAACTCATAAAAAAATTTTATGATCGTCAAATTATTCCTCCGTGTCATTGTCATTATAAGATTTTACTATTCTTAAGTGTAAACACAGTCAAATAGGTTTCATACGGCATTGAGAAGCAATATCAAATGGATTTTACTATTCTAACATCACCTGTCTATTTACTCTTATCTCTCAAAACAAATAATATTTTATATTTTTAAATTAACCTCTCTGCTAAACTTTATGTCTTAAAGTCGTGGATTTGAGCGCAGTTTTCCAAAAACGGGAGGATGCGATATTACGCGCGCGTGAAACTCGCACCTCAACATAAGCCGGTGGATGGGGGCCAGCCCAGTGGGTCGCAGCACACAGTTAGCTTGCGTCTCTCTCACACAAAACACCTCACATGGCATCTCACTGTCTCAGTGCCTACCTTAACCAATTGGCTTTGTATTTCCTTTTTTTTTTTTTTTATTGATTCCCGCAACCGTCCTTCCATTTCCACTCGCAGCTTTTTTCAACGACGGCTCGAACTTTACACAGTTTTTACACGGTGACAAAGAGAATCAACACAAAAGCCAACAAGCCAAGTTAACCTTATTCTGTCATTTGGCACCTCTCTCTCTCTCTCTACGTGCAGTCAATATGTTTGTATATATGTGTGTGAGAGGGAAACCATAGGACAAGGACAAGATCAGAGAGCATACCATCTAGGGTGAATTGTTGTTTGGGAGGTAAACGAGACAAACATGGTGGGTATTTTTTCCAGATTTTCTGGCAGCAGGAATGGTCATCGTCGGACACAAAGTGCACTTGTAAGTATCCACCCTTGATTCTATTGGATTCTATCATGTGTGAATTCTTCATTTCTTCAATCGATTGCCTTTTTTGTGATCTGGGAATTAAGCGTCATCTCTCTCTCTATGAAATGACTGCTTTATTGAATAGTTCTTTATGGATCAGATTGTTGTTGGTTTGACTTGATTCCGTTACATGTAGACCTTGGTTGCTTTAAATTTTTTCCTCCTTTGGTTGGGGATTCTGTTGATTACCGTGTTTTGGATAGGAAGATTTGGTTTGACTTTTCCATTGTGTTTTAAATGTTCTGAATCGGGTTTGATTTAGTCTTCAAGGCTGAGAATTTCCTTGGGGTTTGACCTTTTTATTTGTTCTTCAATTCTTAGAAATCATTTAAAATCAACATGATTTCTTTATAAATGTAATTTCTTCTGTTTGATGCAATTGATTTTCTGCCTCAGTTATTATAGTTAATCAATCTTTTGTGATTCTCCTTGCGGGGATCACATGGGGAAAATGCATCTGATGTTTATCTTTTGTAATGGATTACAAGGCTTAGTATTAACCTGCTCATATGAATTTCTACCCATAGACCTTAGTGGACTACTCTGGTTTAATGCACTCAGTGTACTGCAATTACTTGTCTCTACATTTGAATAGGGAGTGAGATCCCTTCCAATATATTTTATCTTCAATTCCCTCCCTACATATCACCTACCATGCATCTAAGTGGGACCCATTATATACAAGTGTGGTCCCTCGATGATCGGCCAAGAAGAGAATTAAAGAGAAAATATATTAGAGGGAATCTGGATCATTTGAATAGGTATTTGATAGTGTTTGTTGATTTGTATATATATGTGTGTATTGAGTACCTTCATTCCATGCAGGATGACAGAGAAGTATTGCCAACCAATGCAGAAGCAGGGGGTACAGCTACTGCAGCTGGGGCGGCCTCTACTGCTACTCATGGGATTGAAATTGCGGTTGAGTTTAAGCCAGTAGAACACCCTACTGAGCCTCTTGACAATGATCTGCCAATTCAATGCCCATTGCCTGAACCTTCAATTCTTAATGTAAGGTTAAAACTTGTTCTGCATTTATGGGATTTTTGTTGGAGTATTTGTTGGATTGTGCTTATAGAAAACATGTGGTTAAATCACACAAGCAGCTTCTTTACGGTGTACAACCAAGAAAAAATTCACCAATAATGGTAGAAATGTGTACATATTAAGACTTCAGAGTGATTGGCGCATTGTAGGGCTACCATTCTTTTCTTTATTGGGGTTAATGGGGTTAGGTGATGGGTTTCATATTAAAACTTTAATTAATAACTTTACAACCGTTTGATTATAAAACTCATGTACTTGGTTTCATGGTTCTGCCTATCTAATTACATTTTTTGCTGTCTGAACTAAGCTGATTGTGGTTATCTGATCATAAGCTTAGGATGATAATTTCTAAGTTTTGTCAGAAGTAGAGTACATATTTACCACTTGCAGCTTGAAATAAATCCTCCATTATGATTGATCAAATATTTATTTTTAACAAAACACAAAAGATGATAATATACTCAGAAATTGCAAATTGTAAGCATTGAGAATGTGGTTGTTTTCTAAGTTGTCTATCTGTACTTTTGTAGTTGGGATGTTATGGCTGACCATACTCCAGCTATTGGGAAAATTATTATATTCTGCCGATAATTTTTTTTTTTTTTTTTCTGAGAAAGGATTCTGCAGACAAGTTTGATGAGTATGCCTCAAGTTTTTCCAACTCTTAAGATGTCTTCCTTGGTTCTAGTTAATATATATTATTTCGTGATGAATATGCTTCTTGAATCGTGGTGGAAAAGTACTGAAGACCTGATCTTATGAAAAGCCACCATGATTTTCATAGTTGGAAGGATGCCCATTAAACCTGTCCTCCTAATATTTGGGCCTTCCCCTGACGTTGATGTGATTTTATCTCACATTTTCGGTTTTAAGTTCCTTATGGGACCTATGTTAAAAATCTCTTGTATGAGGTGAAGACACTGCCCCGGGAATGGTGCTGGGCAGTTATATTTCTCGACCTTGTCAGAATTTCAGTATTTTTGTGACTGGATCTACTGTCCAATCATGATAAAATCTATAAGTCTAGATATGTTCTGATTATGGAGAAACTCGATTCTTTTGGTTTGTATGATGTTCTCAAATATTAAAGAACTACACAAAAGAACACAAAAAGAAAGAAATGAATAAGAATGATAACATGTTGTCCTATTGAATTCAGCATAATAAATTCAAGTGAAGTAGAGCAATTTTTTTTTTGGGTCTTAGTTTCTTTTAATTTTTTCAAATCTAAAAGAAAAGAGGTATCAACTAATTGTTTTGTGTATGGGGATGTACTATTCTTTACTCAATAGAAATATAACTGGGAACAGACCCCTTCTAATTAAATGTGCCTAGTTGGGCTGGATTTGTTTTGTTTATCTGTTCTTTCTAGTCGGAAAAAAGAGAGCTTACAGTAATCACTACCTTAAAGCACCAGACTATATTTTCATGATCGACACCAAAGTATTTGTTAAAGGTGCTTGGGAAACTGTTTTTTTGGGGGGCTGAGCAAGGTTGCTTGAGGAACTTGTTTGTGATCCATTGGATGTCCTGAGAATTTTAGTGGAATGCTGCTCTGATTGAGAAAAGATTCCAATACCTACAGTCCGAATCTTTTATCATTTTTATCTGAAGAAGGAACATTTGGACATATCAATCACTTTATCCATATTATCTTGAACTAGACTTCTAACAACTCTACCTGAATTCTTCGAGAAATTTCCGCGCTGCAAGTGTTCTGGCATCGAAAGCTCCTTTTTTTTGGATCAGAGGCAGTTAAACTCATTGCGTCATTGCATTAAGTGATCTTCAGGAATGGTGGTGGTGATGGTTCCGGGAGTGTCAATATGATTGTGGAGCTTGGGGTTTCAATTTGGAAAAGAGATGGTAGAATTGTGGTGTTATTTTTATTTTTTATTTTTTATTTTATTTTGGGGGGGGGGGGGATGGGGTTTGTAAACCCTTGAATTTTGAGCATGCTGAGTATATGCAGTGGCAAAAAGAAATTATGCGTCTGTGAACACTATTTTTTGCGAGGATTTGAAGTTAAGTTCATTTACTTCAATTGGATGTTGCACAAATAATGCTTTTTTTGCTCATATTTGCCGATATGGAAAATGGACATGAAATATCAGGGCATAAGGAAACGCTATTTGAGACAATAAACTTATAATTGGATGGGATTACAAGAGCAAATGTTTAAAATTTATGTTTGGACACATGCAAGGTTTTAGTATACCTAGTTCTGGGAGGGCTGTTCTTTTCTGTTGGACCTAGATTATTGTATTGGACAATGTCTTCCACTGAAATCTGCAATACACTTTCTAAAGCAAGAATAACCAAGGATAATGACTGAAAATATGCAACAATTTGAAAGGTAGAATAAATGTCTGTTTTTCCTCCATCACCAGCATAACCCCATCACAAAATACCGAGATGGCTGTTTTTTTATCATCATTTTTTCTTTCCCCAATGCATCTTGTTATATCTGCTCCCTACAGAAATTCATAATATTTCTTTCCATGGTAATCAGGATGGAAGAATATGGAAGGAGCGAGTATCTGCAGGCGTGCAGAGAAGAGCTGATCTTCCAGTTATGCAGGAAGGCAACCCTGTAGAACCCGGGACAGTTGAAACAAGACCCCGACCCCCTTCCAATCGTGGGATTCTGCCATCGATCAGTGCCCCTGAACACAATATCCTCCAACTGCTTGAAGAATGCAATGCATCTGGGATTTGAAATTACATGTTATAGGTTCAAGGTTGAAATCTTTTTGTCATTATAGGCATATAAAGTTCAAAGTGTTACCGGTGTTTCCCTTGTTTCAGTCTCTTTTCTTCTTTGTTCTGCTCAATCAATTTGGAAATATGTAAATGTACGAAGCATTCAGAAAACTCACACAACATGCATGTGTATTCCACAGAAGATTGAAAAGGTTCAGTTAATAAATCTGCGATGCGTATAACTTTCATTTAGGTTAAAATACTGCTGATTATTTTATTACTGTTGAGTTCTCAGGTGTTCCTTTTCATCAAGATATCACCTACAACTGAAGTCTGAATAGTGATCACCACAGGGACAAAGGACAGTTCTTAGAACTAAAGATAGCAGCAGATGAATATTTATTGCCTAAGGGTGAAAATTTTATTTCGGTGTATTGTTTTGATCACCTAGGAAACAGAAATATTTCGACGTGTTTCGAAAATGTTTCGACCCATATCAGAAACGTAATAAAAAAATTAACAATTATTTTTTCAAAACATTAGATAAATTATTATTTTACGTTGTTAGTCATGTGAAACTTTAGTATTTATATACTCCCAATGGGAGGCGAAGAGTAGTTGTAATTTACCACTGAGTTGGTAGTTTAGCTGTAATACTGTTATGAAAACAAAAACTTTCTTTTTGGGGGGTCATTTTTTGTACAAATTGACCTTCTGAAATACAAAAAGACTATATGTATTTGACTGGATCGGAGAAGAGATTAGTCGAAATATTTAAATTAGTTCAAACACCCTGATAGTTGAAATATATATATATATATATATATATAAAAGGACTAACTCAAGTAATTTCATAACTTATTTTGATAGTTTTTATCTAGCCCTGTATGATATGTTTTAGTAATTCATAATGTAGATTATTGTATTATGCTCTATTTAAAAATATTGTGATCACAAATTTTGTATGCATAACGCAAGTTTTTTGCTAATAAAATTGTATTTAAAATTCAAATTTTCTATCGAATTCTTAGTAATATTGGGATTTTTGTATATCTTAGAATGTAAATAAAAAACTTACGAATAGTACGCAGTGTGAGTACGATTTTTTTGCGTGCGATCAATCGGATATAATTGTGCATGTGTTTATGAGATTGTTTGACAAAGAGTAATCGTAATTTATTATCGGTGTTTAGTGTAGTGCAGTGGTCATGGGTGGTTGTGGTAGAGGGGATTGATTATGATATTTTTGGGACAGTTGTCAGTGTAGTGCTCTTAGTATTTTTTTACGAGTTTTTTGTTTTTGGTGGTGCAATGATAATGACACAAACAATCGGTATGTGGATATTGGGAAATATTGACTTCAATGACACTGTTTGGTGTGGTGCTCGGTGGTGTGTTGCCACCAAACACAATCTTTTGCGCTTCTCAATAGTCACTCCTTATTATTGGCAGTGGCAGTTTATTGTTTTAGGAATCTAATTTGAAAATTGTTATTAAAATATAATTTATTAGTCTAATTTGAAAATCTAATTTACTATAACTTTTGGATTGATTGTGGGTCTATCAAAATTAAAATTTAGTGTTAATCAAATAGTTACAATGAACCTACGTTATTAGATTAACAAATTAGGTTAGATTTTTAAGTCCCAATAGCACTACTGTTCGAGAACCAAATTAGGAATCTATTTTATTGGTGTTGGCGAGCTAACGTTCCCTCGTTCGTGCGGTAAGTAAAGAATGTATGTTATCCCTCCGTTGTTGTCAACCATTCTGCTATTATGAAATAATGGAGTAAGGGATAACCTTTACCTTTCCTAATCCTGTGTTCCGTGAGGCGAGGGTGGTTGGACTTAGTTATACATCTGAACTTTTTTACTCTTGTGCAAACTATAAGTCACGGTAATTATTAAATTAGTTGTGAATTTTAAGATTAAATAGAACTCATTTTTAATTTAACAGATATAATTAATTAGATCCAAATAACATTTTTCTTATTGGCTTACTCATGCATATTAAAAAAGTTGAAATGTAAACGGCTATGTGCCAGGAACCATTTTATTGGGGTCGTTATATAATTTCATATAATATGTGCACGTTCCCTTGAAATAAATTCAAATCATTAAGGGTGTCAGTGTAATTTTCTCTTATAATAATTACACTAAAATGCGCAGATTTTTAAAAATTTTCATTCACATTCTATTCGTTTCTTTGAGCCAAAGAAAAGACAAATCAAGGGAGAGAGAGAGAGAGAAGGGTTTTTATAATTCTCTCTAAAGTATACACACAAGCAACTCTCTCTCTCGCGGTTATCGTTTGCAGCCATGGCCGCTCTGCAATATCTAGAGTCTCTGCGCAATGCCCATCCAGAGCTCACCGATTGGTACAATACCCTCGCAGATCTATACCAGAGGAAGCTCTGGCACCAGCTCACCCAAAAGCTCGAACAATTCGTTGCTCTAGCTGTGTTTCAGGCTAGTCTCCTCCATTCTTCTTCAATCGCAATCTTATATGTATAATTTACATTTATATTTTTTCTTGTATAACCTTGTGAAAAAATGAATGAATTGCCGAATTATTGGATCTATGTTATTGCTTTGGCGACTGATGTGTTTGGATTTTGGAAATTTTAGGACTTTTTTGTGTTTGATTTGATCCATGTGGGCTGTATTTCGTTGGGACTAGGTTTTGGAGATATAGTGAGGGTTTTGGGGGAAAGTTACGCTCTTTTTTGTTTAGAATATTTCTAGGAATTAAAAAGTGGACCAGGTTGGGTTTTGGTTTCAGAGAGAAGTGAGTAAAGGTAGAGGAAACATAAAGTTTGATACTTGGGTTTCTGAGGGTTTTGTTTTGGAGATGGGAAGCCGTAATTGAACTGAAACTTTAGGGAAAACTTGTGGCTTAAGTGGGGAAAAAAGTGAAATTGATGGCTTCATGGGAAAAAAACTAGTTAATATTCAAAAAAGTCTTGTGAGCAAACACAGAGAGAATGACAATAGAATAAACATTAGCGAAATACATGTCTTAGGATGTTAATATATTTACTCTTTCCAGTAAGTCTTGTGAGGAAACACAGAGAGAACAACAGTAGAATAAACATTAGGGAAATACCCGTCTTAGGATGTTATTATATTTCCTATTGAATTAATATTATGCATCTATATCTATATGTCCATTGCAATATTGTAAAAAATTAGGCAAAGTTCTTCAATTTATTGGTTTTCGCTCGGTGAAGCCCAAGTTGACCATTTTGACCCCCTTTACATGCACGAATACTGGGTGCAGCCTAGACAAGAAATGAGGTGAATTATTGGGTGAATTGATAGTTAGCAATTAGAGGCATCCTTTTTTCCCGAGATCAAGTAGTTAAACAATTTGCTATGAGGACTAGAATTTCAAAGGTTTTGCACAAATTTGTGAGATATTTTGCGATGTTAGTATTGAAAGGTGTTTAAACATGAGGATGACTTTTGTTGGAGTGCATTCACTATTGCTTTCTACTCTATATGTTGTGCAAAGTTTGAAGGAAATGTTTAATCTCTTGCTCATTACCTTAGGAACTCTTATGAATTTCTTGGGTGAGTGAATTCTGAATAGGTTTCCTCATATAGGAATCGGCAACATTAGGTGGTTTTGGAAATGGGCGGAAAATATGGGCATTTCTTTGTATTTGGGGATGTTTGGTTATACAACTTGCAAAATTCTAATTTGGGCTTAGATTAACTAGTTGCGGGTTATCTATCTTCAAGTGGTCAATTTTTTTTGATGAAAGAAAAACATTTTTTTTGATGAAAGAAAAACATTTTTTTTCTTGATAAGAAACGACAATTTTATTAATAATTAAAAGAAAGTGTTACAAAACTAATCATAGGTGGACAAGTTATCCAACAAAAAATTGGATACCATCCAAGTTCAAGGAAAAAAACAAAAGCACAATACATAAAGGCAAAAAAGTCAAATACAACCCGTAAGAAGTTGTCCAACTTGCATTAATGCTAAAAAAGGAATATTCTCAAACTATTTAGTTGTCGATGCCCATAATGAAGTCAAGAAGTGTAACTGGTCCCATAAACATTCAACTTCTTCTTTCTTATCTTCAAAAATTCTTGCATTCCTCTCCGTCTATATTACCCAAATGAGGGCAAAAAAAACACAATGCCAAATGGTCTTATCTCTTGAACTTCCTCCTAGACCCCTAAAATCCACACTAAACATTGATGTCATTGATCTCAGAACCATCCACGAAGTGCCAACAATCTTGAACAATTTATTCCATAATGAAAGTGTCAAGGAGCAGTGCAAGAATGAATGATCTATAGTCTCACCATCACCTTTACACATAATGCACCACTGCAGTGAAATACAATGCAAATGTCTTCTTCCTTGAAGCACATTATTGGTATTGGTATTAATCTTACTATGAACAATTATCCATGTACAAATTTGCATATTTAAGGACATTTTGGCCCTCGTAATCTTCTAAGATGGATAAAATACTGGATGTGAAGAATCATCGATTAAAGACTCAAAATAAGATTTACAAGAGAGAGACCCGAAGAGTCCCTAATCCAAACTCTTCTATACATAGGATTTAGAGACAATAAAACATCATTAAGCATGTAGAGAAGTCCTAAAAATTCCGAATACTCTCTATTATTGAGGTTCCTACGAAATCCAAAATTTCAATTAATCGAAAAAGAAAAAAAATGAAACTAGAATCAATGTATCTACCATGAAAACAAGAAAAATGATAAAGACAAGTAAATAAACTTAAAAAAAAAGAAGATTCTCCCCTCCAAACACCCTTTGAGAGAAGTTAGTTAACCCCAGAGAAATGATATTTGATGAACTTCGAAAGGTACCCCTTTCAATCCTATTGGTATCCTACCCATTAGCTTGTAATCCTTTGTTGCTTATAATCACTTGCCACAGTGAATCTTGCCCCAAAGGAAACCTTCAAAGCTATTTCCTTACTAAAACGACATTCATTTTGAACAAGTTTTCTCTTGATAAACCACCATTGGCCTCAAGCCCGCCTAGACACTACCTCCCATCTGATCAAATGATCTTTTTTTCCTTCTCAACATCCCTTCCATAGAAAATCCTTCATCATCCCTTAAATCTCCCTTACCAAGCAAGACATTTTAAAGAGAGAAAATATATGGGGATATTGGCCAACACTGACTGCACTAACATTAAGCTCCCCCCCTTCCTTTAGAAATAAATGATTTTTTCCACTCATCTAACCGCTTCCTTACTTTCTCAATTATAGCGTCCCAAAAATGTGTTAGACATCGGATTTCCATATAAGACATGTTGGAACATCTGTTACATTAACACATGTTACCTTGCTAGCTTCGTAAAGTAAAAGGCTTTGCTCACATGATAGATCCTGTTACTGTTAATTTACAACTGCATCTTACTTTGTCGGTGACACCGAAGTCTGAATGTCTGCAATCTGGCAAGTCTTCAATAATATATACCCACTAGTCAAACCTTGACACAAAAGAATAAGAAAGCCTTTATGATGTAGATCGTAGTAAGAAAGATTTAGGGATGAGAAGAGAAGAAGAATGAGATGAGAAAAGAAAAAGAAGGGGATGAGAAAAGAAGTAAAAGGGGATGAGAATAGAGAGAGAATTTTAGGAAGAAGATTCAATATCAATAATCAAAGTCTACTAAACAAATAACATATCTCCTATATATATATATATATATATAGGGAGACCACAAATCCTAAAAGAACTCTAAAAGAAATAAATAGTCATAATGACAACTAAACTCCTGAAAAGTAAAATGATAAATGACAAATAACTCCTAATCCCTATGCTTACGCCTACTATAATAAAATATAATCCGATTTTTATCATTTTCTCCCGGCTGAAAAGAACTCGTCTCTGGAAAGATACGATCATGATAATGCTCTAGAAGATCAGGGTCAAACCAATGAAACTCCTCCTCAGTAATTCATGAATCATCAGTTTCTGGACGATCTCTCTATCGAATAAGATAACGACGATATCCTCCATCCGAGGAGCCCACAATCTGATCATCAAGTACATCTACAATCTGGTCATACAGCTGTGGTGGAAACGGTGGAAGAATAGGAACTGTAGTTGATGGTCCACACGTAGGAACACCTGTTGGCAACATAGGAGGCTCAAAAGTACCATGATAAGGAAACAAGTCCTCCACATTAAAAATAGGACTTCTTCCTTAGGAAACAAGTCCTCCACATTGAAAATGATAGGAATCGGATTATATTTCGTTATAGTAGGCGTAAGCGTAGGCGTAGGGATTAGGAGTTATTTGTCATTTTGCTTTTCAAGGGTTTAATTGTCATTATGACTATTTATTTCTTTTAGGATTTGTGGTCTCCCTATATATATATATATATATATATATATAGGAGATATATTATTTGTTTTGGTAGACTTTGATTATTGATTATTAATTATTAATATTAAATCTTCTTCCTAAAATTCTCTCTCTATTCTCATCCCCTTTGTCTTCTTTAGCGTGCCTGTAACTGAAGCCGTAAGCACTAAGCTAGTGACAGCACAGATGAATAAACAAGATGAAGATGCAAATGATGAAATCGATCACCAAACGATTACGGATCGATGACGAAGAAGTAATTGACAGTGATGAAGAAGCGGATCTGGATCAACAAATGGCGATGAAGTCTGATTTTTTTTTTTTGCACAGACCTTTGATTTTTATTTCCTTACTTGGACAACCGATAAACAGTAGCTGTGAACAGTATCGATGAACAGTTTTTTACTTGGACAATCGATGAATAGTATCGGATGAACAGTGTGCGATGAATAGTACCGAGAATAGAAAGAGAATTTTAGGAAGAAGATTCAATATCAATAATCAAAGTCTACCAAAACAAATAACATATCTCCTATATATATATATATATAGGGAGACCACAAATCCTAAAAGAAATAAATAGTCATAATAACAACTAAACCGCTGAAAAGCAAAATGAAAAATAACTCCTAATCCCTACGCCTACGCCTACTATAACAAAATATAATCCGATTCCTATCACTTTATCTAGCTAAGATCATAACAAAAAGGTGATGGCTATATTTATCTATCAATTGAATGGCCAACCTTGGTGGAATTTATGACTTGTGTGATTGCTTTTTGTATTGTGGGGTGGATCAAATATTGAAGCCCTTTGTTGTCTGCTTCCTCTGTTAGTCAGCCTAGAAAAATTTGTGGATGTATCATTGACTGAATGTCATTACTTGCACCCAACCCAAAAAGGTTGGCCCAAGAAAGAATTTTTTTTCTCTCAACATGCCTTCATATTCTTAAAGACAGCCTAAAGGCAGATTCTCTGATAAGATTCCATGCTCTGGCATATACGGTAGGGAGTGAAGTTGCTATTATGAATGGCAGGTAAGAGATTATGAATGTCTTTTCTTCATTGCTTTGTGCAATCTCTTCATATGGTGTTTTCAGTTTTATGTAGCTGCTTATGCATATGTTGACTGGGAAAGCACATTATGAAGAAATTTAATTGCTATTATATTTGCTATTTATTCACATGTAACGCCTTGTTCTTTTCATTTTTCTTTTCTTTCTTTCATTTTTTCAACTTCAGGCTGGTGATGCTCTCATACAGTTATATCATAATTTCATCACTGACTTTGAGACTAAGATCAATCTTCTCAAGCTTGCACATTTTGCTGTCATAGTCTCTAGGCAGTATTCGGAGAAAGAAGCTGCCATTAGTTATCTTGAAGGGGTGATTGAAAAGCTTCGTGCTACAAAGGAGACGCGCATTGAGGAGCCAATCCTCTATACTAAGATGCAGATAGCTATATTAAAGCTTGAGCAAGGGGACCAAAAAGAGTGCAAGAAACTTTTAGAAGATGGGAAGAGTGCACTTGACAGCATGACTGACATTGATCCATCTGTATATGCTAGTTATTATTGGGCTTCATCGCAATACCAAAAATCTCATCAGGAATTTGCTGAATTCTACAAAAGTGCTCTTCTTTATCTTGCATACACATCTGTAGAATCTTTATCAGATTCGTTTAAGCTGGTAGGCAGTTATCTCTTAAATACTCACTAGGTTGGTTTTGACATTTCACTGTTTGCGAAAGGTTGAATCTGTAGTTAGTAATGGTTAATAACACACCTAGTGAAACCTCTTTCAACATTTATTTACATAATGCATTTTCATATTTTAATTGTTGTTTTATCATGTTCAAAATTTTCTGGTACAAAAAGCCTTTTTTGGTTGTTCTAAGATTTTGTTTGAATCCCAAAGCAGTTATCAAACTTTGGTTGGATAATGAGGGGGTAATGTTTTGAGTGGAAACAAAATAATTCGAGGATCTCCTTGGACAAGAATAGAGACATCAATAAGAGAAAGCCAAAGTTGAGAGAGAAATGCAAGTGGCCCAACAATGATATCACAAGAATAGCAAATATGAATGTATAATTTCATTCTAGGTCTCTATAATGGTGGTGGTGGTGGTATCACTAAATGTTAATAAATCAACTTCAATCTCAACCACTCTTGGAAAGCGCAGACGTAAGAACAATTCACCATGCAAAGCATGCCTTACCCTTGGGTTTTGATTGCATTTCAGGGCATTTTCTGGATGTCGTATTAGAAGAATCATTGATGATGTTATTTTTTCCCCACTATAAGCTTAGAAATGAAGCTTTGAAGCTCATATAGAAGAAAAATTTCTTGCATATCTTAACGACTTCAACTTCCTGATCAATCTTTTGGATCAGTTTAGGGAATTTTTGCTGATGTGCTAGTGTATTGGCCTGTAAATGGCAGTAATGAGGAAAGTAGCCCATAAGTTGGGCAAGATGGGATTACATTCATTTTATTGCGCCAACATGAAATAGTATTTTGGCTGTTAATAAGTGGGAAGGATTATTCTTTTGTTAGAAGAATAATAGTTGGAAACCTACCAGCCTTCGGTCCTTGGAATTTCTCCTCTTTTGTAGATTTGATGTATTTTGTGTTGATCATGAAAGTACTCTAGACGCCAAGGGAAATGGTAAGGTATCTGTGTACAATAAGCCGATGCTTTGGATGTTTAAAGAATGAAGGAAGCATGGTAATGTGCACAGATATTGAATTTAACAGGGTCATCATGTCTGCCCTCTCTGATGCCTTTCCAGCCCTGATTAGGGGGCCTGGATTCGACCCACATCTTTATTTTCTCTATCGTTTTCTATTTACTCCGACAGAAAATAATAGTTGGAAACGTCTTTTGTAGTTAGAAGCACAAATGTGTAAGTGTGCATCAATGGTTCTCATCAGGATAGTGTGGATCCTTATAAATCGTCACTAGTTCAATTCTTTTAGTATTTCTCTTGGTAGAATGTATCCATGAATCAATAAGATTTCCATTGTTATAAGTGTTCTTCTAACTTCTCAATAATTCTTAACATTATCTCAGGATCTGGCATTTGATTTATCCCTGTCGGCGTTGCTGGGAGAAAATATCTACAACTTTGGAGAACTGCTCGCACATCCAATTGTAGGTTAATGTCTGTAAAAAATTGTCAATTTTGTTCATTTTCCTTTATTTAAACTTGTATTACTTTGAAGAGTGTCATGAGGGTTCATTTATAACACTTATGGTGAACTTATTTTGTGTAGATATTATATTACATCATCTTAGATGACAGTTTTTCTTTTTTTGGCAAGGTTGGTGGTGTAGTCTTTGTTAGACTCCTACCTACCTTTGTGAACTGTTTTGATATTAAACTATTTTCCAAGGGTAAGTTGTATGCCTCAGCATTAAAATTTAAGGCACGCACTTATTGTATCAATAATTTTTTTTACGAACTTCCTTTATGGATGCATTTGGTATTCCATCTGTTGGACAAGTTTTTAGAATAATGAAATAATGACTGTTATTATTGAGAAAGTAGAATAATGTACTCAATCAACTGTGAAATGTTATTTTTAACTGCACTTGGTTGAAGGGTGGTTTGCATAAAGGGGAACAAAATGACGTGGAATAATAGAAACAAGCAAGCAGTAGTATTGAGCAAAGGTCACTGACAACGCTCCCTCCTTCCCCCTCTCTCTCTCTCTCTCTCATGTGTATACAGAAAAACTAAAACACACATCATTTGTTTGGATCTGGCATTTTGTCATAAATGATGTGAGCATTATCCTTCTTTTTAAAACTCAATTCCACTCAACGAAACGTCTACTCAACTAGTAGATTGGCTACGTGAGTTCTTTTGCGCCATTCAACTCTAACAAGGGTTATCACCTATTTTAAACCATGAAAAATACTATTAGTGTTTGTGAATATGCATAATTTTTTGGCTTATCTTCAATACCGATTTTTGTTTTGGCTTTTTCTATTATAAGGATTACTTAATGTATTTCCTTCTCTTCGTGCTTGTGGACCAAGTGGTTATAACTCATGCATGGGCATGATTTTGACTTGTAGGCCATCGTATGACAAGACATATTTTTATAATTTTCCTAGTACTATGATTTTCTGCTTGTCTTATGTCAAAGGCACTTAAGCAGATGTTTTGTGAAGGACAATCAGATGTTAATGCTAAATGACGTTTCTAGTAGTGGCAGTGAGGGTGAAATCTGTGATTTTGGGGGACACACATGAATGATAGTCTAGCCACATGTTGACATTGACACGTGTATTGGAAATTTGGAATTTGCATGTCAATATGTAACAGATGAACTGATGATTTGGAAAATATGGAGAGCAGCAGCTGACAAAAAACTATTAAAGGAGGAGGATGAGGATGAGGAGACAAAGATCTCTTTGTTTTCTTGAATGACCCTTTTTCTCTTTTTGCCGTATTCATGTGCAAACTCTTCATTGCAAATAATGCTGAAGTTAAGGATTGTACCCAATCTTTCCCTCCCAGACTTATTAATGGGGACTACAATGGGTGTTATTATGCTTCTGTTATAGGGCATTTGTTTCAACTCTATCCTTGAACTAGGAAATAACAATTCTAATCAGGTTATTTAAGGTGTTAAAACCAATTAGGGATAAATCCAAGAAACTTACAGGATTGCTTGTTTGTGTGCTCTGAAAACTAGTCCTGCTCTTGCACCATTGAGGAAAAACATGATTGAGATTAAAGTTGCTTTTAGGATGATAGGAAGACTGAAGGGACGCAGATTGAGGTTGTCTGAAATTACATATAAAAAGATGGAATTGGTTTGGATTTATAGAATTGCCCAATTGGATACCTGGAGCTGATGTGACATATTTGGAAGGGCTTGGTTGAGTTTGATATTTGGACTCTTAACACTACTGTAGGAATGCTGTAGTGTAGGTTGCAAGTTTTGAAAGGACAATTATGCAGTGAACGGTTTGTCGTAGTTGAAAACGATTCAATGTGTGTAATCAATTGGAAGCCTTCATTCTAGATGGTGTGGAAAATGTGCAGCTGAGTCATATGATAATGTTAGAATGCTTTTAAATTGTCCTGTAATGGTAGTAATTGTTTTACGGGTCATGTGGTCCATTGAACTTTTTTGTTTCCTCCTTTTTTCTCTTGTGCTTCTTTTGGCAGCAGTGCAAATGCTTTAGTTTTAGGTAAATGTTTGACCATAATTTACACAATGTTTTTGCTCAAATTGCTGGGATTCTTTGTGTAATGGTTTTTTGTAGACAGGTTGGCATGAAATCCAGTGCTGATGTTGTTGGTTTTAAGAATTTCATACTAACTTCTGTTTTGTTTTGAGCTTCTGGGAGTCTTGACATTCGTTAACTTCTACAGATTAAGAGTCTTCTTGGGACAAAGGTTGAGTGGCTTTACTATATTCTCGAAGCATTCAACTCTGGTGACTTAGTTCGCTATCAAGAATTATGCCACGTCCATAGAGCTGCTCTGAGTGCTCAACCAGCGTTAATGCAGAATGAGAAAAAACTTCTGGAAAAGATTAACATTCTCTGCTTGATGGAAATCATCTTTAGGTATCTCAGCAGAGTCCTTGTGCTTCCACTAATGCAGTTTGAATCATTTATTAGCATTTAATCAGTTGAGAGGTGCTTTTCGCAGTCGACCATCAGAGGATAGAACTATTCCATTAGGCATCATTGCAGAGTGCACAAAACTTACTGTAGAAGATGTGGAGTATCTCCTCATGAAGAGCCTCTCTGTAAGTGCATCTCTTCTTGAAAATTGAATGATAAGTAACAAGTTTTGTCCCATGTGAAACTTTCTCATTTTCTGAGGTAATGAAGTGAGAGTGCAAATATGCCAAACTATTTAGTTATATCCTCTCCATTCTGCATTTATTAAGTCCACTTGTCTAATTGTGGAACTTGCCGTGAATAAGAGATTACCTAACTGCTGTTCAATTGTTGACTACATTGCATTTGATGGAAGATATAATTGAACTTTTCTGAAAGTGATTAAGTTGTGGACTGAGCAATAGTAATATAAATTTTGCTCGAGAGAAGCAACTGTGATCTTTTCCTGGTTGATCAGAATATGTAGTTGTTCATGTTAAATATAAACAGCAATATGATCAAAACTTCAAAAATTAAATAGACAAGTTTTACCAAATTGAATGATTTATATGGTTCAAGATCGTGGTATTGGCCATCGACTCAGAAGGATTGAGATACCTCGGCTACGGCATTGCAAAACTCTGTCGTGGGTACGCATGAAATGCTAGATAGAATAAGTTGGGCATGTGAGAGATTAAGGCCATATCGTGGCGTCGCTCCCATGACTCAGATGACTGAGTCACCTGAGATGTCTCCAAGTCAATTACAAGTTGAGTGAGACTCGTAGCTTGCATCAAATGTGTATCGGTCTCGGCACGGAAGGTGTCGAGTCGGATATGACTCAGTCTGAGTTGTATTGGTATTAGACTATTAGTGTTTTTTTTGATCAGGGACTATTAGTTGATACTTTGAACTATGATGTTTCGTTCTCTACCAGCTCTCAGCTTATTCATTTTTATGATTTGGGAAAAACCTTAGTGATAACTGAAATTCTTGTGAAAGAGTCACACAATCGCAAGAAATCTTGTATTTACTTGTTGCTCCGTGTCTCATAAATGTTGCCTTGGATTGTTGGGTTACAAATGGAGAAATTGTAATTTTTCTTGAAAAGGTCAATGGAAAGATGTATCATACATATTACCACAGTGGTCTGGCATCATATCACAGGACGTTTTTCATTTGGGCAAAGAGCATACATAAATTCTTTGAATGCTTTACTATATTTTGACATGGACGCTTGGTGTATTGTTGGCTTCTTCCATATCATCTTTTTCTCTCTTTTTCTTCACCTTTTAATTTCTAACTCATTTTCTTTGCAACACTTCATTAGAAGGAATAGAAAATACCAGTCTATAAACTTGTATCCTAATTGATCACATTGTATTGGAACAAATTAGAACTTTCTTTTGTTGATAATTGGATTTGTTCTCTTACCGTAGTTTCTTGCATCTCATGCTTTGCCTCATGAACATTATATTTATGTCTTTTACTCTTTCTAGTTCCATGAAAGCTTATCTATTTAATGCGATTGTCTTGCTGTAGGTACATCTCATCGAGGGTAAAATTGATCAAGTGGAGGGAACGGTTCATGTTTCCTGGGTGCAACCAAGAGTTTTGGGGATTCCCCAGATCAAATCATTGTGTGATCGCCTGGACAATTGGACGGAGAAAGTACACACTGCTTTGTTATCGGTCGAGGCAGAAACACCTGATTTAGTTGCATCATAATCTTTGTTTGTTGACTACTGTTATGTTCTCCGTCAGAATCTCTTCATGCCCAGAAGGGCTGGCAACTGCAGCTCCAACTTTATATGCTTCCTTTCAAATTACCGACTCATATCGCATTATTTTTTTCCGGGAAGGAGCTGTCTCTTGCTGTACTTTCTCACTTTCTGAGTTGTCTGACTTATAGTTGCCTGCTTAGGGACAAGCTGAGGCGATTTAAAAGGCGGCTGTTTTTACTCTTAGTATGTTCACTGGACCATGTACTGGAAAATTTGGTCACAATCAGATACGATCCACTGTTTGTGGATGAAGTGCAATTTCATTTCAGTATTCTTAGATTATAACTACGTAATTTTATTTCTGAATGATGTTATGTTGTTTTGGTTGCGTTCCTACGTCGTCCAGCATGAAATGAATGGAGCGCGTAAAACACTGCATGGTGAAATCCTTTGGAGGTATCGCCCTTTTGTTGTTCTGTATGATGTGCGTGAAAAAAGTAAAATGTGTTTGACAGTAGAGTTGATAATTGAACTAAGTTATTCGGGCTTTACTTGAGTTCGATTTGTTTAGACTCGATTTGTCTTTTAAACGAACTGAACTTGAACATTTTTTTAAGTTTGTTTAGAAAATTAGCTCGATAGGTTTGACTTGAAATTTGACAGATTTGACTTGTTTATAAGTAAAATATTTGGGCTCAGATTGGATTTAACTTGTTTAGGCTCGATTTATTTTTTCAAATGAGTTGAACGTGAATTATTTTTAAACTCACTTAAAAGAACGAGCTTGGCAGGCTGGATTCGAGTTCATTTAAACTTATTCGATTATCAACCCCATATAATAGTACGATGACAGAAATTTATCCACGTTTTGAAAGGTAGCAAGTCTCAAAATAGTATATTACTTGTTTGCTTTGGGACAATCAACGATTGTTCATTTGTGCTAGTGTTCTATGCTACTTGTGTAAGTGATTTGCAATGCCATTGGACCTTTTAATCCTCAAAAATACTTGTATCAATTAAGTTTAAGAACTGTTTTTTTTTTTATCAATTGATTCATTCTATTTACCTATGTTAGAGTGTGTCATTCACTTGACTATATGACACAAAAAGACAAAAGAATTTAATTGACACAATTAGAAAGTTTAGGAACTCAATTGACACAAAAAAAATTAAGGGTTTAATTGACACAAGTGTCCTAGTTTAAGGATTATATGTATAATTTATTTCAACTATTTTGTGTCGCGTGAGTGATATACTTGTCACTTTCTGTTAGATTTGTCACTTTTCGTTAAAAATTCTAACGAAGAAGATAAAATGGCTCAATTGACGAAAAAAAAAAAAGATTTAGGAACTCAATTAATATAAGGGTTATAATTTAAGGACTATATATGTAATTTAATATAAAAAGTTTCAATTTTATAAATAGGTTAATCTCAACTTGTACCTTAAAAAATCATTCAAATTTTAATTTATACTCTCAAAGTTTAAAAATATCAATTTACAGCTTGAAAGACATAAATTTGCATCAAAGTTAACTGTCATCTATTTTGCCGTCAAAAAATTTGAAATAATATATAAATTGTACCTTCAAAGTTTAAATATTTCATATTTATGATTATGATAAAAAAATTCTATGAATTAATTTCGTTAAATATCTCTTAATTGTTTCATGTCATGTTATTTTATGTCATGTCATTCGTGTTGTGTTTGAGTCGATAAAATTTTTTTAAGTACAAAATATTTTCGTTTCGAGTCAATTGTGTTGTGTAGTATATTTCACATTTATCATAATTTATATAATACTATTTAATATTTTTTAAATTATAAAATACCTATTTTTTATCTACAATATTCATTAAATAATTATTTTTTGTCTACAATTGTGTTATTTATATTTAGCTTTAATTTGATTGAATAGTCAAAAGATTCGTATCTAAGTATATATAGAAAATATCCATTTAATAAGTATCGTAAGCAAAAAATAGATATTTTATAATTTTTTAAAATTTTAAAATTATTTTTTTATTGAATCGAACTTGACACGAAAATATTATAACACAATACAATTGAGAGTTATTTAACGAATATTAATAAAAAAAAATTTAAATTATAAATACGAAATATTTAAACTTTAAGGCATAATTTATAATTAATTTAAATTTTTTTAACGGCAAAATAGATGACTGTTAATCTCAACTACACGTTAATACAATTTTTTGTCTTTTATAATGTAAATTAATATTTTTAAACTTTAAAAATATAAATTAAGATTAAAATAATTTTTCTTGTGCAAGTTAAGATTACTCATAAATTTACTAGTTTTTGCTGTTAAAAACGGCCCTTCTGACAAAACCTCAATACTCTGGCCCAGGATTCAGGTGGCTAACGAGACCCAGCAGATCTACATGGAGGAGAGACACACAGACCACCTCCGACCAACGTCTTCCTCCAAAAATCCTACGGATACCACCCTCCAATCGCCACCACCACGGGGCGACCACAACCAAAGCGCTTCGTGAAGAACCAAATCCCAGACTCAATCCTCACGGACCCATCTCTCAACGCCGCCATCTCTCTCTCCCCTCCAACTACAACTTCGAGATACACAAGTGCGTCTGGCGATTGCGCTCCACGAACGCCAAGCGCGTCGCCCTTCAGTTCCCGGAGGGTCTCCTCATGTACTCTTTTGTCATCTCCGATATACTTACCACTTTCGCCGGCGTCACCCACTGTTTCGTCCTCGGGGACGTCACGTACGGCGCTTGCTGCGTCGATGACCTCTCTGCCGCTGCTCTCTCTGCCGACCTTCTCATCCACTTTGGCCACAGCTGCCTCGTCCCCGTTGATTACACTTCAATACCGTGTTTGTACGTCTTTGTCGATATTAAAATCGACGTTGAAAATCTGTGTAATAACATAAAAAATGGTCTCGATCGCAAATCTAGAGTAGTTCTAGCTGGTACAATACAATTTGGGTCAGCAATTCGGGCGGCCAAGCCCGAATTGGAGAAATTAGGGTTTAGGGTTTTGGTTCCACAGTCCAAACCCTTATCCGCTGGGGAGGTTCTTGGTTGTACTGCCCCGAGCTTGCCTCTGAGCGGCATTGAAAATTCTGATGAGACTGTTCTTGTTTTCGTGGCGGATGGGAGGTTTCATTTGGAGGCGTTTATGATTGCGAATCCGAGGATTAAGGCATTTAGGTATGACCCTTATATTGGGAAGTTGTTTCTGGAGGAGTATGATCATGATGGTATGAAGGAGTCGAGGAGGAATGCGATTGTGAAGGCGAGGGTGGCGAAGAATTGGGGGATTATTGTGGGGACTTTGGGGAGACAAGGGAATCCAAGGATTTTGGATAGGTTGGAGAAGAAGATGAGGGAGAAGGGTTTGGATTGGACTATCTTGTTGATGTCGGAGATATCGCCTGCCAAGATTGGGTTGTTTGGGGATTCAGTGGATGCTTGGATTCAGATTGCGTGTCCGCGGTTGTCAATTGATTGGGGAGATGCGTTTGAGAAGCCACTTTTGAATCCGTTTGAGGCTGAGATTGCTCTTGGTGGCTTAACTGGGTGGTGGGAGAGAACTCCGATTATGAATTTGAATTTTGGTTGTAAAGATGGTTTGCAATGTGCCAAGAATGAAACTTGTTGCGCGTGTAACAACGGGGATGTGAAAGATAAGGGAGAGACTGTTGTGGATTATCCGATGGACTATTATGCTCAGGATGGAGGGGAATGGAATTCTTGTTACTCAAAGAAGGTGGCTCGTCCCCTACGGAGGAATGTTCAATCTTGTAATGGTACTGTAACCAGTGCCTAATTTTCACAGGAGGCCACATTTATATCCATATATACTTCCAGAGACTATATTTTATGAGCTTGGAGGCTATTCAAGTGATCGCATGTTGTCCAAGTGAGTGTTTTTGCAACTCACAACTTTGAGATTGTTTTTGGTAATGTTATTGTCTGCAATCTAGCATTAGTTCCATTGGTTTCTTGTTTTCTCGATTTGACCGTAAGGGATATACAAAAGGCTTTATTTAATTTGTATTTTTGTCTTATGATTGAGTTGGAAATATAATTTGCAGAGTTGCCTGAGGCCCTGAACTTCCATTTCTTCATTGGATGTAAGTTGAGTTTTGTTATTATGCTTCTTACAATTGCTTTTAGTTTTTCCAATATGCATATTCACTGACATTTTTGCAAATTTTCTGAAACTTTTTCACTGATATTTTTGTTGATGATTTTACAAAACAAATTTTGAACAAAGTTGTTCAATAGAAATTAACTATTATTTGCAATCTGTATTGTGCAAATTGCAAAAAGAGATCTGAGACTCTAGAGATGCCAATTGCGATATTGATTGATATTGGGGCAAAAATTAGATGGCTGGTATTGTGATTAGTATTACCTGAAAACCTTGTATTGATGACCTCTTTCAAGCTATCGCATACATACAAGTACCCGTCGTGATCAAAGCAAACAATGTCTCCAGGGCAGCATTCCTGGTCGACGAATAACCAAGAGTGGGGGCTTTGTTTGGGTGAAATTTGACAGAGTTTTCACTAATCCTGACTTGGGCTGATGTTTTATCCTATGGTCAAAGTCTTACCACTCTCAACATTAGATCATTCTCCTATGTTTATCCAGATTGACGAAAGTGCGTCTTTTCATCAATCTTCATTCAAATGTCAGAACTTACCGTCTTACAAATTTCAGAACTTACCTTCTTACAAATTTCAGAGTATCCGTGGCCAACCATCTTTATCAATTGTAGACGTAGTTGCCTCCACGTTATTCAGGTTTCCTAAAACATAAAGTTGTGAGAATCTGTGTTCCATCAGGAAGGAAAAGATTCAAACAAGGAAACAAAAACACTGTTTGTGAGGACTATTCTGTGTGTACTGCGTGACATATTAACTACAAGCATAAAACTTCTTAATGCAACTAAACTAGTTTGACAATCTAAAATTCTTACCGCCTAATATTTTAAACACTTTTTAAAAGTAAGTTAAAATTTTAGGTAACAAGCTACCTATTTACTATTTAATAACGAAAATATTAGTCGGTACGAATTTTTTTCATTTTCTCATAATTAGCAAATATATTCTCAATGCATTTTACACTCTTAACTTTTTAATACCCACTATCCACCTCCACCACTGTCGCCACCACCGCCACCGACCACCGTTATTGTGTAATCGGTGCTACCATGGTAGGAATAAGGTAGTTACGATAAGATTGTTAAAAAAATGACAATTAGAATAATAATATTTTTCAGATTATATTTATCAAATAATTTGTTTCAATTCGATACTTAAATTTCAATAGATATTAAACGGTCAATAAATTAAAAAATTCAACATTCAACATTTAAAATTCAGTATTCAATTTTCAATTTTATCAAACACCACCTAATACCTAAATGAAATCAACATGAGGGAGAGCCTGAATGAACTCCTCTATTAGTAATACTACGCTGATCAAATTTTGGGACCAAATAAAGAGCCCAAATGATAATTTTAATACAGAAACTTTAGTAATACAGCTTATTCAATCTGAATTGCAGAAACGGCTGATGTGATTTCCTTTGTTCGTGGGTCACCGCCCTCTAAAGAAACCCCATGAGGATCTTCTCTCACCAGCAAAGCCAGAACATTGAGAGAACTCCATGCTTTGGTCACATTGCTGCTTGAATCGGCCAAGGTGACAGCAAAAATTGCATCAAAGCCACCCGCACCAGGAACCCCAGCCAAAAGAACACCTTCCATATTCATAGTAACATCCAAGAGCTGTGTTTGTGACTCAGGTTCTATCTGCAAATTTGTGTATAGCAAGAGAGATAATCAAAGAGATTAAACAGGACAATGACACCTAGGACTCATGAGACTATAATGAAGTTTAAAATCCGTTGAGGCAATGTGCCTACAACACCAAACTCTTTTAAGTGCAGCACAATTTTTTCCATGTGAAAATATGGGCATAGACACAAAGTCTTAACAAAAATCAAGACTGTATGCTCAAATATGGAAACAAAAATTATAAGAAAGGAGTGTATTGCTTTGGCAGACAATTTTTTGAAGAGCTAACCACCCAGAGATCAATTCTCTTTACCAAATTCATTACATACTCCAAGCTTTTTATGAAGTTATTTGTAGTATTGATATTTTAAAATGGTTATTTATAGAGTTTGGAAGTATAGGGTCATAAAAGTCATTACTCAGTTTGGTAAACCATTAGTCACGGTGCGCCCCCGCGCGGGGGGGGGGGGGGAGATGTAATTTGGCATACTAATCCTCAAATTCAAAACCATGACCACACCATTGTAAGTTCGACTCTTTTACCATTGCACCAAGCAATTGCCCCTACTTTTGAAGTGTTTTTCCTTTGTTGTTTTTTGTTTTTGGTTCTTTTTGTTGGGGGGGGGGGGGAGGGAACAAATTGTGCACCACCAAAACCTGCGCCGCTATACCTTTAAACCCTCGAAGTAAGGGGGGGGGGGGTGTACACACGAGAGAGAGAGGGGAAGAGATAAGATAGAGAGTGAGGAAAACCTTTAAACTGTTTTTACTTGGAAAGTTTTATAACTGGATTTTGTACTTGGATTATCCAACTTACAACAAATGAAATATGACAAAACTAAAAAGAGTCATGTGGTCAGAGATGGGGGAGGGAGTGGAAGACATGATTACATTGATTGCAAAGGTGTTTGGACATGATGAATATCGAGTTAATGTCCCTTAAAAAAATTAATGTCCAAAAAGAATCTCTCTTGGGAAGCAGTTAAAGGACAACATTAGAAAAGTTACTTTGAACACCTTTAATAGGTATCTTTAGAAGAGATCCATGCAGGGGCTATGTATATAAAGTTTCCACATTGCAGCAGTTGATGACAGTGATCAAACAAATTGTAGAAAAGGAAATATCTATCATCACATGTATATGTGCATATAGATACAGAGAAAGAAAGAAAGAACAAGCTTCCAATCAAAGAGAAAGAACTTACTGGGATGCCTGCAGCCTCCCCCATTTGGCGCATGTAACGCCTGATTCCAAGCATGGCATCTCTTGCTCCTAACAATCCTTTGACAACTTCTGCTTTTCTCGGTTCATCAGTTTGCTCCCTCCACTGTTAATGTAATTTGGGTAAGATCATCTAAACCATAAACATGAAATTTGTACCGGTACATGGGAGAGAGAGAGAGAGAGAGAGAGAGCAGTTTTTTGTGCCCATTGGACACTATTAACCGAGTTGAGAACTATCTAATTATGTAAAACTGTTGAAAACCCACTAAGAAATATCCTCGGCGAAATTTGATAAATCAATGAAAGATTCAACTTCAATAGTTGCACTAGATACCCTTAATCAAACCAGTCAAAAGTTTTCTTTTGAAATCCAAGGGATGTAACAGGTTGTCTACATCTTTGTTCAATATTAGAGGATCACAATTTTGAAATGCTCTTAAAAGAAATGGTAGTCTCGGAAGAGTAAAGGGAGCAGGGTCAGTGATAAAGTTGGACAATATATTTGTTAGGCTCTTCATCACCTGTGTATATTAGCTACAATTAGCATCCCATGGAAAAATGAATCTCATTGAGCGTTAAACAGAACCGATCAGACAGTCCAAGAAATGTAGTGTGTCACAGATGCATCCATAAAAACATTTCAAGGTCACATTTCTTACTAATGCTACTAGTTTTTGTCTTGACAGAGCAAAAATCATTTCAAGCTCACGTCTTACTACCACTATTAACTTTTGGACTTACACAGCATCAGTTTTATCTTTCACTTCCACTTGGCTAAAAGTCAAATAAATTTAAAAATTACCTTTTCTGACCTAAGCGTGCTGCAGCTATTAATGACAACCGTATATGCATCCCAATGCTCTTCTGCCAATTTACTTAACATATTGAATTGCATTTCAAGAGCTGAATTTGCTTCTGACAACTTTCTCCATGTGTCTAGAGACTTTTCAGGGTCAGATTTCTGCCACTTCTTGACAGCACCTACCATGGATGGTGTTGATGATCCTCCAGCACCTGGTTCTCCTAGTAACTGCAAAATCCATCACGACCCGTAAAAGTAACTCTTCAATGAAAAATAAAAATAAAAATAAAAATGATAAGTGGAAAAAAATGTATCTCTTTCATCAATAATATGCTTTCAAAGAGATAAATACCTATATTGGACTTTAAGAGTGCTGATCCTCCAACAATTTTTTTTTGTTAATGTAGGTTCTTACCGTTTATTTCACAGGGGGATCCCTTAACCCTAATGCAGACCTTCACAACCCTACTTGAGGTTAATGGCAATTCAAAGAAAATTGCAATTCTATGGTAGACCAGACAAACTGTGCATTACCGCAAAACGCTCCACAGTAACCCTATATTACTGAGCAATGGTAGATTTTTTGAACACAATGGATTGGGAGCATCGATAATTCATCCAAGTAAATTAAAGGCCAGTAAATGTAACAAATGTATTAGACACCATTGATCCTCATAGAATTACAAAATACTTATTAATCTTATCCTTGCTTTATAGTTTAAAGACACAGAATCAAAATATTCATTAAGAAAATTATGTCCCCAAAAAGGGGAAAGAGTCAAACTCAAGACCAGGTTTTTGAATTTCTATTATGAATTAATACGGGAATGAATAATCTCCACTAAATGCCTGGGAAATAAGGAACGAGAAATGAAAGAACATGTGCTTATGTGCTGTTGGTAAGGTCTCATCCAAAGATAGCTTTGGTTAACAAATTAGATAAGGGAGGGAAAGTGGCACGCAAGCACAATGGTATAGCCCATATACAATATAAAAAGAAAGTATTTATATACATAAACCTATTAACATGGCAAGGCACATAAATATCTTAATAGACTTACAAGACTCATCAATGGAGGCAATGAAAACTTAGCCCGTTCATGGTCCACTTGCCTTTTAAGACATCAGCAATGACTTCTTCCAGTGGCATGCCTTTAGCTGCATCCTGTAGCCCCATTATAATAAATAGTAATCAAAAACAAATCCTAGTGATAGTCTCTGAAAGAATTTACCAATATTTGCAAGTTTTGTCTCTGCAGGGGAAATTATTCTTCCATTTTTTCCACTTGCATTATATGAAAAAATGACACAAACAGGAATTCTATCAACGTCTTCATATAAGCTTTGTGTGAGATATTACTGATCAAATGATTATAGAGGTTTGCGGCCCACAATGAGGGAGAAGAGAGAGAGAGAAGGGATGGGAAGGTGGTAGAAGGGAGAGAGACCTGAGCAGAAGAAAGAACTTCTGGAGAAAACCGAACATAACGTTGACTCCCATAAACTGCGGAACTGACATCGAAGCCGCTGCCAACTTTTCCCTGTGCAATACAGTGAGCAGTTTGAGCTATCACATGCACTACATCAAGATCCACAGTATCATCCTTTTCTTGGTGTTGATCTTTAGTCAAGGGGGAAAGGTTAACAACTCCGAGGTAATGAAGCAAAGCAGCAACCACTGCAGTTGTCATAGCTGCAGATGATCCCAATCCAGTTTTTGCAACTTCAGGCTTGCAATTCTTTCCACTTGCTTCTTCTGCATTGAAAGTAATTGAACTAAAAGATGGAAGGGCAGCCAAAGTTTCTGCTGTCAAAGGCAGTCCATGTGCTTCAATCTGCAAAGGAGGGGGGAAAAAGAACGTAAACTACATTGACATCTAAATTCAATCATCGGTTGCAATGAGGATTCCAATGAAATACGATTTTAAGAAGCTTCAAAGCCATGATAATCGTAAATAGGAAGCAAAGATAGAGACACACATTGTTATGGTATGTGATCATTCAAAAGGAAAATATTTTGATTTGCCCTTTGTCCAAGCAAGTTGCACTCACTTGCGATTTTTCCCAGCAATGTAACAAGAATCCAGCCTATTTAAAATTTAGCCATTCTAACATATGTGATACCATACTAAGTACCATGAAATTGCGCAATCCATGATTTATTTTCTGCACTGGTTGCAATCACATATTCCTTGCATTTTCTTCATGTTAGTATCTTTGCCACATAACACAAATGTGATGCAGAGCATGCTTTTGAAAAGAAAACATAACGAAACGTACAATACAGCCACAGCACCATAGGGTCAGATACAAACAAGACAAACTAGCATTCAATTCCTACAGAATACAGCCCTACAAGATGGAATATCAGATATGGTCTTATGTGAAAGCGAAATAAAGAGACTGAAATTAAAGTCTTTGTCATACAACAAAATAGTTTCAACATAGTATTGTAGAACTATCTACAGGACCAGTGGGAATGATAAATCACTAGTAATTTAGATCTAGGGCAAGATTCTGTTTAGGTTAATTCAACAACTAGGTCTGAGTCTAAAACTTGGGCATAGCATATTTAACTTCATCACCTCAAATGTCTTCCAATTATGTTAGCAATATTTAATCTGGAATCACACAAAATAAAAGAAATGTTCTGCACCATTGAAGTTGGCTATTGGGTAGTTGCCCTGGGCAGGGCCATCGTACTTTTAACTGTTTTCCGATGTGCAAGTCTGTGTTCATCTTTACATGTACAGATGTGATGTTATTTACCACAATACCAAAGGGGAAAAGCAATATTTCCTTCTGTGTATTTGGCTTTCACCTGTGTTGGACATTGTTTTGTACAAAATCAGGAACAGTAAATTAATAAAGAAGGTGTATGTTTCTGTTGAGATTACCCTACTAGAGCAAAAATTGGGTGCGACGCATGTATGTTTCAAAGTTACATCTGGTTTAATGCAGAAATCAGCCACATATTTTTGATTGATGGGAGTCATATGGGCTGCCCACAGGTTCAGATCCAAGTCTTCTGGCTAACAAATGGGTCCCTGAACTAGTGTTCCTATTTTGGAGTGAATTTGGGATTTTGACCCATGGGCTGATTTGGGTTGGGTTTTGTTGTGCTCCTATCGGACTTTTTGGTTCTTATCAGACTTCATGTGTGTGTTTTGAGCTCTCTTTGTAAGTATGCTCCAGTGCCCTTTGAGTGTGTGCCTTTTTTGGACGGAATTGAGGTTCATTGTAAGATCTCCTTTTTTTCGGAATAAAAATTTAGTCTCCTACTCTCCTATCAATGGTAGAATGTTGTAGGACATTGTGTTCAAAGTTATGTGCTACAAAGATAAACTATGGTGCTGGTGAAGAAGAAAATAAGGAAAAAGATGCCACCAAAGATCAACCAAATGAATCAAAATTTATAAACAAACGATAGAAAAGGGGAAAAACCTGGTTACGGTATGAATAGAAGTCGTTGCAACCTAAGATCGTAATATCAAGACCTGCATGACTAATTAGTTGAAAATTAGACTTTCAAATTTCATTTCTCTTTATGAAGAAAGACAAACACGTGAAACATCAAACATTACCTCGCAAAAGTAGTTTATGAAATGCATCCTTCTTATTGGTCAAATGTTGCATGTGCTGCTGCTATAGCATATTGCAATGCATATTCAACAAATGGGTCCTTGATTCACTGGAATTTAAATAGTTGCGTTTACATTATATATGCACAGTTGCTCATACATGCATGATCAAAGTCATGCATTCATAGTGAAAGGCAAATAATTGTATGATGGTAACAAGGGTGGATGAATATATTTGATCATAATACTTGCCTTGAAGAGACAAACTGAAGTGTTAAATGTTTTAGTGACATTTTGTACATAGTTTCTCTTGACATTCTTGACTGAAGTCAATTTCACATCTGTCCATGCCTGAAATGTGATGTAGAAACAAAAAATTTACAAAAATTCAACAGTAAAATTTTAATGGAAAAAATAGTAATAAAGCATTATTCCTAGACTAAGTTGATCGAAAATTTGTTCGGTAACTGAAAACAGTTTTGTCTCAATTGAGCAAGAAGCCAAAAAACACTAATCATAGAAATGAATGTACATAAGTAATAATGGTTTGAATACTAAAAACACCTTTTTGTAGGTTGAATGAAACCACTTAGAGATCATATGATAGCCAATCTTAATAAACAGTTCAAATTATTGGGGAAATACTCATAAGCCTATATATATTTCACTCTGCACCTTTTATATTTAATTGTCAACCAAATGGGAGAAGAAAGTAAAATATTTTATATTTTGCACATTTACTGTGGTCAACTTTGGCTGGCTTCACCACTATCCACCAGCTTTGAAAAACAGATAGATGCATTTAACTGACAAGCGTGAAATGTAGATGAAACAAGTCTCTAAACGAAAGGATAATTTTTTCAGAAAAAAAAAAAAAAAGAACAATCATAATTGTTCGACAAGTGGAGAAAAGAAAAGGCACCTAAAGCTTTGATCCAAGATTCTCAGACCTATCCCAATCCTAATTTCTTGATTCATTACAGTCATTGTGCCAACAAAAAATATCCAGGCATTTCAAGAACTTATATAAATATAATATAACATATCATAAATACAAGAAATGTCGGGTAAAAACAAGAAGCAAACTAAGTAATCAAGGACAGAGCAGAATAAAATTACAAAGAATCACGCACCCAAGCCCAGCTTTCGGGATTAACTTCTTCATAAAGTGGCTTCACAATTGCATAGAATCGAGCATTTGTACTCAGTACAATCCCAGCATTGGGCCTCTCCAGAACTAGGTAACCCCCAGTCATCAAAACCTTCCCAGGAGCAGAAGCAACTCTATTCAACCATCACAAAATCAAAATCAATACTGAAATTTCCTCTGTGAATTAGAGAAAAAAAAAGAAAAAAGAATTTTGAGATATATTGATAAAAAAATCACAAACTTACACCGCCATTTTCCCACAACTTGCAGTCTGATCTTGGAAGGCTGAGATCAAAATCAATAAAAACAACAACGCTCTGTTTGGATGCTTGGAAAATGTAGAGCAAACAAAGAAATCTAATATCAGAACCGAATAAAACTGAAATGGAAGTTCACACGCTACTCTAGCTCAGTTAAGTCTTCTCCAAAATTGAATTACAATAAAGAGTCATAGCTTTGATTTCTATTGGTGTGCCCGATTTTCTCAGCTACGAAAAGGAAAAACTGTATCACTAGACTACTTGACCTTTGATGGTAATCAATGCAATTGAATCTTGATACATTAACTTCTAGAGAAGACTCACAAACATATATATAATTTTACGTGTATATATATAGAAAGAGAGAATGAAATCTAGCTTACCTGAACAGGAGAGAGAGAGAGAGAGTGTGCGACGGAGAAGAAGGTATTTGAATTGCCGGAGAGAGATATGGACAAACTCCTCCTTGGATTCGCAGGTTTGAACGAAGCGTTTCAGTGGTTTATTAAGGGAACGACAATGAGTTAGAATCGATGATAAAAAAAATATGATTTTTAAAGTAATTTATAATCGATTAATATTATCTATCACTTAATTAAAAATAATTATAACTTTTTATTTGTAAGGGTGTTTAGAGAGTTTGAAATTTTTTAAGTTGCCGATTTTGTAAACGAGTAAATCTGACACGACCCTATTAATAAACGAATCAATTATTAATAAAATTAATTAAAAAAAATACACGTCAAAACTCATTTATATATCAGTTATACATAGTTCATATATAACATATCTATATAATAAGATAGCTCACAAGTTGAATCTTATTTCTTGGACATTTTTTTTTCAAAAAATATACATCACCTATTTCTATCACATACTCAATTGTTTTAATATTTAATTAATTTATAATTTAATATATTTTTTATTTCAAACATTATTCATACATGATAATATATATATTGAGAAATATTTATCGAATTATATATTTTGAAAAAAAATTGTTGATATTTTTAAGTAAATAATGGATAAACATGGATTTTAAATGATATAATTAAAAAAGTGAAGGAAAAAATTTATTATTTAATGTAGTGAGATATATTTTTTGGACACTCGAATTTTATATTTCATCGTGTTTCAAGCACAAGTTATGACTAATACACAATATGAAACAATTCATTAGACATGAATTAACGAACAAATTGAATATAAATAAAATATTTTTGACACAAATCTATCTCATCCGACAAACTTGACATACCTAATAATTTTCCTCCTAAATTTGGCACCATAAACTTATCCTTTTCTAGTCTTACTTTTTTGTTCACCATAAAATTGTGACCGAGTCTTATATTTATGTTAGTACATAAAATTGTGACCAAGTCTTATATTTATGTTAGTACATTAAATCTTATTCCATGAAAACAATATCACAAAAATGTCAATCTTTGTAACATTTCTTTATTAACTTTTTAAATTATTATTACAACGATGTTATTATTATCATCCAATTTTGAATCAAATTAAACAGTGATACTTGCTTATTGATATTCTACGATGAAAATGAGATTGTCAATTTTCAGCACGACACGTTAATACGATACGAACCGAACATGAAATTAAATGAGTTAATAAGTTAAAAACGAATTGACACGCTTAAACAGAAAAAAAAAAAATTCATGTTGGGTTTATGTTAAAATAAGGTCAAACTGATTTTGACATGATTAATCGTATATTTTAAACAGGTTAATATGATTCAGATACGAACTTGACCTAACCCATTAATTCATTTATGACAGTATAGTTTGTCTATTATGATATGACTGGTGTGATCTTATCATTATTACTTATTAGTTCTTATTTTTATTATGATAATTGACAATATAGTTCTTAACATTATTATGATAGTAAACTAGTATAGTTCTTACTTTAAATGATTGAATGATGTATTTAATAGTAATAAACTGATGTGAAAATAGGTTATGTGTGTTAAACAAATATGTATTATGTGCTAACACAAGTTAAACATATTAAGTTATGTGTGTTACCTCAAAAACGACATGCTTATTAAACGTATTAAATAGTTCGGATTTGGATAATTTGTTTAATGACTAGATGAGGTTAGTGTTTACACATCTCAAAGTGATTATAAAATATATCAGATTTGAGTTTTAAAATTTTTAATATTAATTTGACATCAACCCCCGACACAAAATAATTTAATTCCACACACGTTTGACAAGAGTGGTAATAATTATACGTAGTTGATGTCTGTGTTTAAGCATTGAATGCTAGGTGAAGAGTTAAGTCATAGTGTCTTTAATCCTACTATGACACCTGCAATTTTTATTGGGTTAGGTTAGAGTAAATCGTAAATTTAGAAATGGATTTAGTAACTCTTGTACACTCCTCCTATGAAATTGTTGATTAACATCGTACTATTCAAGTGTGACAATTAACATTTTAATACTCATATACATATCTCTATTCCATTAAAAAAAATGTCTGTCTGAGCAGTGATGGGATAACAATAATCCATTTTTTTTAGGTCAGAGGTGTTTAAATTAACTTACGGATATTTCAATTAATTTTTTTCCCGATTTAATCAAACCCACATTAAAATTAAGGTATTTATGAGAGGAATAAATTCCTAATAACCTAGGTTTAAGAGATTATTCAATTTCAAACTCAAAACGTTTAAATTTACGGTTCGTCCGCTTTCCTATTTCAACTATAAATTAAGTAACAATCACCATCTTGTGATTGGGGCATGCAGTTCATGGTCAAAGGTCCTGCTTGGCAGGATTTAGTTGAAGTCTAAATTTGGACTTCTAGGTAGGTAGGTTGGTGGGCATTGGTTAAATTTGTTATGTCTCCATACTACTCTATCGAAATGAGTTTTTTTTTTGTGGGGG